CTGAGCAATCGTCCTGACGACAAGACCCCGCGAGACCCGCAAACAGAATCAAGTTCCAGAAGCGCCACCACGAAAGTCCTGTTTCTTGTCCTAACACGTGAAAAGAGCCGCACAGGGTTTAGAAACAGCCTCTGAGGCTGATGATGAGAGGCGGGTCTAAAAGCACCGTGGGCAGAGCTCAAAGATGCCAAACACAAACGAGAGGGTTTTGTGTTCCCCGGGGCTCCGCGTGTGCGCCCCAGGGAGGCTGCCCGGGGCCCTGGGATGCTCGGCCACAGGACCCTTGCACCAGCCCCAAGGCATTTCCTCGCGCTCGAGATGCAATGTTTTATTATTCCCGCAGGAGTGGATCAAGGATACACAGAACGTGTCCCACGTGGCCAAGACGGAGGCCACGGAGCAGGAGTGTGTCCCCGAAGAGACCCTCGTTGTCCAGCTACAGAAGGCCGAGGCCGAGATGCCCATCGTGACGACTGGCCCGTTGTGCCCTCCAGTGGAGGGGGAAGAGGCCTCCGGGGACACCAGCCTGGTTGCGTGCCAGCCCCCACAAGGGGGCGAGGTGGTCTCTCTGGGGGGCTTCACGTTTGTGATGACTGACAACTCATACATGCTGTTATGAGGGGGTGCAAACTCAAAACCCAACATTGGGGCCTACATTGACATTATAGCATCTGAGGGACTCAGTACGACCACCAAGGGAACACCAACTATGCCAGCGTGTGTGGCGGGGGTGGGGGGCTCACTGAGAACCCTAACCGCCCAGCCAGGTCACTCCGTGTGTCAGCTTTCCGCCCACGCATGGTGGACAGGACTCCGTCTGTCGAGTGCTTCCTGTTTCCAGCTCACATGTGCCTGTGGCTGATGGTTTCCCATCCATCGCGAAGGACGCTGGCCAGGGCTCCCTGACGTCGTCTCCCTCCGTGCACGTCGCCCGCGTGCTGTTCCGACAACATTTACCGTCGTGAGCCCTTTGCGAGCCCTTTTGTTACGCAGCACACATGCCCCGCGAGCAAGCCACTCCGCTCCCGGGTAGGAAAGGAAGCCTGCTTTACGGATGCGAATGAGCCACGCGGCGCCTGCCCTCACACGCGAAAACACCCGCTTGGCAACGACAGGACCGCGTTCTCCAGCAGAGTCCGTTTCTGTGGGCGTCCACACGCATGGCGTTGAGTCTGGATGCAGGTGGACCTTCGACCGGATCCATCCTGCCCTTGAGGACATACCGTGTTTTTCTTTTGTAATGGAAATAAAGGAAGTTTATCACCCGAGCTTCAACCGCATAGATTATCGAGATCTTGGTTCTTTGGGCTGGTGGTGAGTCTATCTTGTCTGTCTGGGGTCTCTGCCCGTGGCAGTAAATAAGTTTGGAGCTCGTGTGTGTGTGTGCGTGTGTGTGTTGGGGAAAACCTCTTTCCCACCCCGAAAACCCTCCACGGATGCAAAGAAAAGAGTTTTATCACAGAGCCTGCAGGAAACCACCTCACAGGCAACCCGCCCAGAGGTCCCAGCGATAGAGTCTCACTGGCTCTTTTAGCTTCAAAGCACAAAACCCATCCCTGCTCTCAAGGGGAGTTTTGTCTAATCTTCAGCATTGACGTGGGTTTGCAGTTCGGAGCCACCACCTGGCTGGGGTCTGACGTCCAGGAGGGGCTGAGGCTGGGGGTCTGAGATCCAGGCAGGGCTGAGGCTGGGAGTCTGAGATCCAGGCAGGCTGAGGCTGGGAGTCTGAGATGTAGGCAGGGCTGAGGCTGGGGGCCTGAGGTCCAGGCAGGGCTGAGTGTGGGGGTCTGAGATGCAGGCAGCGCTGAGGGTGAGGGTCTGAGATTCAAGCAGGGCTGAGGCTGGGAGTCTGAGGTCCAGGCAGGGCCAAGCATGGGGGTCTGAGACCCAGGCAGGGCCGAGGCTGGGGTCTGAGATCCAGGCAGGGCTGAGGCTGGGGGGGTCTTAGATCCAGGCAGGGCTGAGGCTGGGGGTCTGAGA